AATGGTACAACCACTTTGGAAATTGATTTGGTGCTTCCTTAAAAAGCTAGATATAGAAGTACCATACGATCCAGCTATCCCGCTCCTTGGAATATATCCTAGAGAAACAAGAACCGTCACACGAATAGATATATGCACACCCATGTTCATCACAGCACTGTTCACAATAGCAAAGAGATGGAAGCCACCTAGGTGCCCATCAATGGACAAATGGGTAAACTATGATATATCCACACAATGGAATATTATGCAACGATAAAGAACAATGATGAAGCTGTGAAACATCGTATAACATGGTGGAAGCTGGAACTTATTATGCTGAGTGAATTTAGTCAGTCACAGAAGGACAAATACTGTATAAGAACACTATTATAAGAACTCAAGAAAAGGTTTAAACACAGAAGAAAACATTCTTTGATGGTTACTGGGGTGGGAAGGGAGGGTAAGGGTTATTCACTGACTAGACAGTAGATAAGAATCATCTTGGGTGAAGCGAAGGACAGCGCACACTGCAGGGGAAGTCAGCACAACTGGACTAAACCAAAGCTAAGAAGATTCCTGAATACAGTCTAATACTTTGAGAGACAGAGTAGCAGGGATGGGGGGTCCGGGGACCATGCTTTCAGGGGACATCTATGTCAATTGCAATAACAAAGCTTATTAAGAAAATGTTCTGTGTCCTAATTTGCTAAGTGGCATCTGGGGTCTTGAAAGCTTGCAAGCGGCCATCTAAGATGCATCAGTTGGTCCCAATCCCTTGGAGTAAAGAAGAACGAAGAACACCAAGGACACAAGGAAAGTATTAGCCCCAGAGACAGAATGGGCCACATAAACTAGAGACTTCATCAGCCTGAGACCAGAAGAACTAGATGGTGCCCGGCCACCACAAATGAATGTCCTGACAGGGAACACAACAGAGGGTCCCTGATGGAGCAGTAGAATGATGGGATGCAGAACTCAAGTTCTAGTAAGAAGACCAGACTTAATGGTCTGACTGAGACTGGAGGTGCCCCGGAAGGCATGGCCCCTGGACTCTATCACCCCAGAACTAAAACAATTTCCGAGGTCAACTCTTCAGACAGGGATTGGATTGGACTGTGGGACATAAAGTGATACTTGTGAAGAATGTGCCTCTTAGTCAAGTAAATAAAAGAGACCAAGGGGGCACCTTCTGTCCAGAGGTGAGATGGGAAGGCAGAGAGTTAGAAGCCCGTTGAATGTTCATGGGGAATCAGGCGTGGAGGGGAGGAGTGTGTTGTCGCAGAATGGTGTGAGCAGTTGGGGTCACCTAACTATGTATGTAAAAAAAAAAAAATTTCTGTATGGGAG